AAGATACTCACTCTTATTGGTCTTGTGTACAGCACCATCTCCAGCAAATGGCACAGATTATGGTCCACAAACTTGGACCTTGATCTTTATGAATCTTTACTGGGAAGATGCTGTCTGACTTGTTATTGCTGATATATTTTATTATCATTATTAATTTTCTCTAGTACCACAAGGTTATCATTTTTGGCTGCTTCTGGAAAGAAAGTACAAAGCCATCTGATTTAAGCTTGGGGATAACAGTTCAGGTTTTCAGCAGATGACTGAGACTACTTTGAAGTCTAGCAGAAATAGTTTAGGAATAAGTGTTTGGCATAATCTGATTATTTTTGTTGCCTTTTAAAAAAATCATGTTTATTTCACAATTTATGCCTGAGGGCTATTGGGTGTGAATCTTTAGAGGATTGAGCTAACATCTGTGCGATGAAAGCTGACAGGACAATTGGGTCTCTAATCTGTGTTCATCTTACCCACTCAAACAAGAGCATGAACTGGAACATGGCCAACATCTAATTATGGAAAGAAACCAAAAGCTTCTTCTGGAAGAGAGAGAAAGCTATCCATTTCTCTGAGTCTGTAAATAAGAAGTTTCTGCCAGAAGACACTCAACTGACACAGTGACTGCTGCAATGGGCTCCAGTATATCTGAAATAATGAGGATTGTAAATGATAGGACAGATCTGTTGTTCATAGGATTGCTAGGATTCATACTCAACTCAATGGCACCCAACAAGAACAAATATGCACAAGTAGGAAATGTAAATATTACATCTGTGATATCATACAAACATTGGAACTATACAAGTAACTTTTTTAAAGCATCAGATAGAGATGTGAAATCAACTAAAAGTAATGATGTGATTACTAGTGGTAAGAATCTGTGCTGTAATCCCAAAGGCTCGTGGTTTGAATCCACCAGCTACTGCTCAGGAGAAGGATGGTCTGTCTCCTCCTGTGTGATTACTGCCTCTGAAAATGTACTGGAGGGTCAGCAATGGGTAAGTTCTGACACAACAGCACCCAACAACAGCAACATGTTGTTGTTGATATGTGCTGTCGAGTCATTTGCGATTCATAGCGACCCTATGTACAACAGCCCTAAACCCTGCTCTATCCTGTGCCAATTGCATTGCCTCTGACACACCCATCCCAATTACCCCAGTCACTGAATCAATCCATCTCATAGAGGGTCTTCCCCTCCTGCGCTGTCCCTCCACCCTACCAA